CCTTTAGTAACTAATGAAAACTCATTTAAAATTTTATGAAAAATATGATCTTTAATATAATAACTTAATACATTTCCTCCTAATTATGACTCGTTGTCATTTCGTGTTTACATTCACATCATAGAATAATTCCTCACTTTGTGTTCATTTATTTATATATATATATTTTATTGCACTCGAAAAAAGATACAGTGTTTAGTTCAACAGTTTGTTAGTAAGGGTGGGCTTATCTCTAAAAGAGATCTCTTCCAGCCAATCCAATGCAATTAGCGAGAAAATAATTAGCAGGTAATCTAGTGCAGGAAAAGTACAGGAAAAAGGTATACAAAGAATACCTTGTGTACCTTTTTTAGAAAAATAATATTTTTTCTTCTATTTAAATCTTATCTTAATAATATAATAAAATTGTAACTAGAAGATGTCTGTACATAAGAGATATTTAAGTAAAATAATATTAGGGGTCTTGACAACAACAAATAAATACCAAAATTAATTCTGTTTTTGAATTCTTTCTGTTTGACTGTATTCTTGTTCCAGCATGACCCAAAACCTGAATGCGGTTATCATAGTTGTGTTTCTGACGATCTATCTTAAAATGTGGTATATGTTTTATCTTGATTCCATTTAAAAATGGTGTATTTTATTAGTTTTCCTATTTCTGAAATCCACACATACGAAGCAGTGGGCAAAAAATTTGTATTACTTGCATTTATTTAAGTTTTTTGTTTCTAGCAGTTATTTTAAAAACTCGTTTGGGAATTTATTAGATTATAGTACATTTGACTTGTAAAATAGAGTTTCAATGTCATACACTTGTAAATGTGAGAATATTCAATTAGGATCTGTAATATTATATATAATTTTGATACTATAGCTGTATAGTATACTAATACTATCATCATTTCAGCTATTATCCGTACATTGCTGAACATAGGCCTCTCTCGTAGACTTTCATAAAGAACAGTCCTGAGCCACCTGCATCCACTAACTCCCTGGAATGCATTTGAGGTCATCACTCAATCTAGTGAGGAAACGTCCAACACTGCGTTTACCCGTACAGAGTCGTCACTCAAGAACCTTTCTTCTCCATCGGTTGTTGATTTTTCGAGCTATTTGACTAGCCCATTGCCACTTCGGCTAGCTTATCTGATGTGATTTTGTTTTATTTGCAAATATTCTCATTTTAGATTCTGTCACGAAAGAAACTCCGAGCATAGCCCTCTCTCGTTCGCTGAGTAATTTGAAATATATACCTATAGGATCCTTTACTATTTTTAGTAAAAAAAATCTTTACTTTTTATACTAGTTATTTGAAAAACAAAATATTCCAGATAAATTATTAAAAAAAAAAGAATAAACAATCACGTCAAATGGAAACTGATGTATAAAAATTGAAGTCGACTTTTTTCAAGCTGGACTAATACAAGGGTTCGTGACCACGGCACGTTGGTAGGGTGTTAACACCTTGTAAATTTCGACATAAAATAATACAATGTTGTTTCGGCATTATTCCTACATTCTTGCGTTTTTGTTTTGATTTAAATTAACAGCCAAACACACGGGTTTTATGAGCAACAGTTTACTTTTATAAAGTGAATTCAGTTCCTTTACATTGTTAAGTATGAAATCGTAAATTAAATTGTAAGTTTGGTAGTATTATTTGTCCATTTTATATGGTTGATTAATTAGGTAAAAGTTTTTAATACTACATGCACGGTTGTTGCTCATGACTTTATTTGCGTAATTTTAAGTGTGTTTTGACAATTTTACGGTAGGAAAAATCGACTTTGTAATACTTTTTAAGAGTCGTCACGAGTCCTAAGACTAGAAGAAGTTATTAGACTGTTTTTAATGAGTGAAAATGATATGTTAACCATGCATTTGCCATCGGTATACGCTAATGGAACACCAGTGAGGAATGATAGGCGAAAATAAAGACAGGCCAGTTGGCCCATTGTGATGATTTTAATTAACCACAATAGTCTCCAGATGGAACCACGAGAAGGTCAACCTATCAAAGTATATTTCTAGCAATGGGGCTGATGGTTCCTAATACTAGTCTACTCCTTTTCCCCTAAATAAAAATCATTTTATTTATTTATTCATAGGAATATCAATAGCATTATAATAGATATAACAAACATTAAATATAATACAATGTTAATGTACATATCTATTTCTGAATGTATATAAACGCATCACTTCAAAACGGCTGCACCTACTTGGCTAGTTCTTTTTTTTATTGTGTTTGTATTTCTCAGGACAAGTGTTGTATAAAAGAAAATGTTAATCTCTATGTAAAAAGTGAGTAAGTAAGAAAGAAGATGTGGTCTCATTTCCTCCATTAGTTTGTTCGTGTAAAACCGGGCGGGGTAGCTAGTACAAATATAATTTAACTAGAATTATAAATAGTAATAGCTCGCCCGTCTTTGTATAATTATTTCGGTTCAGAATGAGATTTATTTTTCATTTACTCTACAATAACAGTATTCATATTATCTGAGCTCATTCCCTAGTACATCCTACGCATTATGATATTTCAATATCCAACAGTATTTAGACTTTATTGTGTTTGGTATGAACTTGAACGGTCGTTAGTCAAACGCGCCGACATATTGTTACAAACTTTAAATAAATATATTTAACATTTAATGTATAATGAAATATTCTTCCGTTATTATTTGAATCCACTTTTGTCTATTATTACTAATTATTTTCATTTATTTGTTTATTTTTTCATTTAAATTGGGAACTGTGTAAGTTTAACTTTGTCTGAGATTGATAATCTTGTTTTTTTTTTATTTCGATGATGGCAGCATTGTTCATAGGTGACGATTCCCTACCATTTTCGCACGAAATTCAAATGTTAGCAACTTTGCAATAAAAATAAGAATATTATATAACATAATGTATATCTAAAATTTGTGATCATTCAATAAGACGAGGTTTATAGTGTTTTAAAACTGGAAGGTCGATTTACAACTCAGCCTTTGGATGAAGATTGAACCTTGTGCCCTAACAGTTTTTTTGTGTAGATATAAATCTTAAGGCGCGTTTACGATGCCTCCCTTTACGGAGTATGTGTTGAGAGTCAGCGTCATTGACATTATCAGTAGTTTTCCTTACTCTGGATGATTTCGATTTTTGTAATTTAGATTTAGATTAAACAAGAAACAATAATTTTTATGTTAATTTACACGGGCAAAACCGCAGGTTTCAGCTAGTCTATTAATATTGTATATATAACATCTGACTCGAGATGTATAAAATTTTTGTACCCACTGACGAGAAATATTAAATGCCACATTAATATTTTGTATTGTTTATAATGTTTTCAGGTATCTTATTAATATTATAAAAATATTTAGATATTTGAATGAATAAATAAATGATTAATTTATTAGTTACGTACTTACGTAGTGATGTTTAAATCGTTTATTAAATAAAACAAAATTATTCAAAGTCGCGTATTACTATTCGATACTCTGGAATTAAACTTATTAATGACGTCCCTTTTTTGAACTATGAATAATTAAATTATTTGATAACGTTATCGAATGTATCTATTTTATAAAGTTATGAAACAATTAATTGTGGAAGTATTTATGATTTCGAATACATAGATTGTATCATAAACAATGTATATTCCGGTCATACCGTGAATATTACTTGTCAAAATTACATTAATGGAAATTCCAAAAAGACAAAGGTTGAATGAATGAATGTTATAAAAACTATTGCACTTGGACCATCTTGTCCCGGACAGACATTTGCCATAACAACCATGAACCAGTAAAACAACACTTTTAAGGGGATCGTGAAATTTTTAATGTCCACACGGTCAAGATTTAAAGGTGCGGGAGCAGTAATATCCCTCATTTTCTTTGTGGGTATTTGGTCCCTTTATTTTAAAAGGCGTTGTAGCTTAAAACTTTTAGGTTTATAAATTCTAAAAGGAACCAATTGAGGTCATGTTACAGTAATAATTTAGGGTAATATTAATTAAATTAAGATACCTGTACAGTTGCTAACAAATTAAGTGCGGAGCTTTAACGGGTATTTACCTTACGTAATTACAAACAAGATTAACATTAAATTCTTTCAAGATATGTTTGGTTTATTTTTAGAAGTACATTAATGAAATCTTTAGAAGTCGTTTACATATTATCAGAGGGAGACTTTGTACAAAAGTCGATTGCTTGGGTACCTCTGTCCTATTCGTGTTTTAACCATGAAGCAGTTGTGTTTGCATGGCTGTGTTTAGGTTTGAAGGGATATGGCGTGAATTTACTGGGTACAGAGGAATAACATCTGAGTCCTTAGGAATGGCAACGCATGGGGGGTATCATGGGCGAAACAGTATACTCTGTTATGTCCATGGTACTGCTCATGTCTATAGGCGACGGTTATCACTTTCCATCAGGTGGGCCGGCAGCTTGTTTGCCATTCTAAGTTGTACAAAAAAAATATTATTTTGTAAGTAATTGGTTATGAAATATTTTTATAAATAATCGACATTTGTTTACAAATAACTAATTTTATGTAATCCTAAAAATACAACATATACAAATAATAATAATAGTATAAACAATAACAGTAGCAGGAGGGTGATAAGCCAGGATGAAGCAGGCCAGTTGGTGTGTTGTGACACCTACTAGGTCTACCTGATAGGGTTTATTGCAAATTAGTAATGAGGCCGTTAGACTTGACTCATCATCATCATCATATCTGCTGTTAACTATCCACAACTCTGTCACAAAGGCCTCCACCTATTAGTGAGTTTTGCCAGTAGTTGCCACGCTTGGCAGGTGGGTTGGCTACTGCAGTTAGGCTTCGGTGAAGAGGGATACTGCTACCTAGACTCAACTACTTCTTAATATTTCCTTCCCAAGTTGGTCATAAATTATATAGTATAGTATTTATTGCTTTAAGTCATAAAATATAGTAGATAAGGTAACTGTTCCAATACTAATATTTACATTAAAAATAAATTGAATTTAAAACAATGTGTAAATTCCGTGAAATAAATAGTGCGTCAAATCAGTTTCCTTATTGTAAAGACAATTATAAATGAAATAATGTTTGTATATAAAACTCTAACAATTGTTTTGTACGTGATTAGTTGTGAGTTTTGTATAGGTCTGTTTTATTCTAATTTTATTTGATATTTTATTCGCGTACGATAATGTAAATAAACAGAAATAATTGCAAAAACCAAACTGTATTAAACAATTAATTATTAAAGTATTTGAAAATGTTCAAACTGTAATCTTTACTAATGAATATTAAAGTAATGCACTTTTTTAAAACAATCCTGATAATGTTATTATTAGAATGTTATAAAAATAATATGGAACTAACACCGAATTAAAACCTACCAAATGCAAAAAACAATTATCAAAATTGTTTCAGTATTAACAATAACACAAAATATATGTACATATGTATTATATATGTAAAAAAATTATACAAAAGAGATATCAGTGCATATTTTTCTTATGTAGGTACCTACTTAGCTACTTATTAAATTGTATAGAACGATATACTATACTAGCAATCCGTCCCGACTTCGCATGGGTAAATGAAAATTTAAAAAATAATATATAGCCTATATCACTCGCTAATAATGTATTTTTTGAGTTACAAGTGTAAGAAATATTAATATAGGTAGTTTTTGCGTTTATCCATTACAAACAGACAATCAGATCTGTTTCTTTATAATATTAGTACAGACAAACTAATGTCTTCCACACAATTCATAAATAATGTAGCAATATGTTTAATTTCAGCCAAAAAGAGCGACGATTTGGAATTTTGGTAACATACGTTTTATTAAATCTAAATTTAAATACATGTTATAGTAATGTAACTATGAATGTTTGTTACCACTTATGACAAAAACTTAAGTTTGGTCGAATCCACCCTTAGTCTTTTAACGGCTAAACTGGTCATACTAAAGTTTGGTATAAGCGTATTTGGCTTGTATCCCGGTAACTCAACATGTTATCGTGGATTTATGGGATAAAAGTATATAAAAGACCTTATTCTTTTAAAGTCCATATTATTTAATTATTAAAATACCTTACCATGGTAGGTAAGGTATTTTAAATAAGCTCGAATTTGTGCTTAAAATTATTTAAACATTTTTATGGGTATGAGCTGTACAGGGAAACATTTTAAAAATTGTTTTAGCAGTGTATTTTTTATTAAATTCAGATTTTTTATTTTTTCATATTTTCGAAAATATTCATAAAATTATTATAAAAAGTCTTGAGTATATTTAGCTTATTAAAAATAAAAGAAAAATGTTTTAATATGTTTGAAGGGAGCCAGAACCGAAATATGATAAAAGAAGAGCAATGCAAACAAAGACATATGTTGAAACGTTTAAACAGCAATTTCTTTACAATCGGGGTAAAACAAAACAGAACAGGTAATAAATCTAAGTTTTTTTTTTCTAATTTATAAATACATCGATTAGTTATTAAAAATCCTATTTATAACATAAAAAAATTGAAAGTAATGTTGATAGGTAGGTACTTTCATTAATTTTTCTTCTTCGAGCTCTGCTTCTTTTGGAGGTTGGCAAACATATGGCAATCCAAATTTTTGAAGTTGCCGCTCTGAAGAACAAAGGGTTCTACAGCCAAACTTCTACTGCAAGTTCTTCATCCAGGAGTGCCACTTCCTCCCAGTACTTCTTTTACCAGAAATCTTGCCTTAGATGATTAGTTGGAGTATTTTTTATTCCTCATAACGTGACCGAAATCCAAATTTTATTAATGCAGTAGTACTATTTTTTAAACTGTGCTAATTACTATTTAAATAAAATGAAGTACGTGTATTAGGTTAGAGCTATATAAAAAGTTTTTATATGTGTATTTTATAACAGAGGGGGCAAATAAGCGTGCGTCTCATCTAATGATAAGTGACTATCGCCGCTCAAGAGCAACATCAGAGGAATTGCAGGTGTACTGTCGGCCTTTTAAAAAGGAATATGCTCTTTTTTTTAAAGTTACGATATGATATCGATTTAAAAAAAAAAAGGCTGGCAGTTGGGTTGTTTCATGCCAAAAATATGGGTAGTATACAGGTACTCCAGCAGTCGATTTTTATAAAAATTTTCCCTCTGGCAATAGCAGTAATAGTGATTAAATTATAATATTATTTAATTTTAAACAGCAACAAAACACTAAAACTGCATTTAGAGGATACTGTTTCAATTAGTAATAAGAGCATGCTACGCAATCAACCAAAACCTCATCACCATTCCATTGAAGCGAATATACAAGACACATGGCCGAGGATGCAACAGCATAAGTTAAAGCAGAAAAATAAAAAGAATAAATTGCAATAAGACGGTTTTATGAAATCTTTCTGAGTATTACTATTACGAGTATTAATATTGTAAATGAGAAAATGAGTTTTGCTTATTCATATCTTATATGTATGTTTGTTACCTGGTGGCATCTTAACAGTACAATCAATCGTTATGTTTGACATACATATCTATAGTAATTAGGATTAAGCAGATTTTGGAGTAAGTCAGCGAATGAAGTTTCATCTTTAGTACTCATATTTAATATCCAAGGAATAGAATATCTGCTACACTTGTTTGTCTGTATATATAGATTCTATAGATACCTATAGGGGTATCTATAGAATCACAGTCAAATATTTATCATCCAAAGGATAACTAATAAAATCTGAAGAATTTTCTAAGTTTCTATTATATAATGCTCAAGCGAAGTCGATGGTTTGCTAGTACTTCATATTTGTATCTATAGGAATAAAATTTTGACATTATTGTAATAATTTTAACATGTATTTTTTTATTATTGGTTTACATGATACATATATTTTTTTAGATCAACAAGAATGACCGCTGTATATAAGTTGCAATATACAAAAAAACATAAAAGCGATAAGTAAGTATTGTAGTATAGAACTAGTAAACTGTTTATTAAATATATACTACATAGTAGTAATTAATTAATTTTAGACATAAATAAAAAAAAATAAGAGAAGAATCTGAATATAGAGGTAATACTATAAACATATTACGCCGACCTCAAATAGTAATTGGGATAATGGTAGAATGATAATTGTGATGACAATCAGATTATAATTATATGGCTATTATAAAATGAAAGGGAATAAGTTTATTAATAATGAACAAATTAATTAGTAATACCAGATGCGATAGATAGAGTTTTATAATATTTTTCTTTGCCGGACGTCCAACAGAGACGTCTAGACTGAGTAATGCGTTCCAAATTGTCATGTATGTAATCGGACATTCCAAAGAATTTTAACCACTGGTTAGTAACTAATAATATAATATATTATTATAATATATACGCTTTATTTGCAGGCACAATTTAATAAAATTAAATGAAGAAGAAAAAAGTTATCCACTTAATCCGTACAATGTAAGTTAGACATGTAAATCTAAAATATATGAAAATATTACTCTGTAATTTTAGATGAAATAGAAAAATATTATAATGTTTTTAACTGAGTTTATTAAAACTTTTAAAGTAATTTTCAACAAGATTATGAACCTTAGAAAGCCGTATGATAGAAAATGTGACTTTACTTCAATTTATGATAAGATTATTAATAGTATTATGCAGTTAAAAATGCGATTTAATCCAAGTTACACATCTCAATATTTTTTTAATATAATCTGTAAAAAATGTTATGACAATACATTAACTGCAATAATTTTAATTACTTGTATTTTAACATTAAAATTATTAAGCGAAGTAAACTTAATCCCTGAATGGCTTTCCGGTACTTTTATATTTTTTACTTGAATGTTGTGTCAAGCAAATTTTACCTTATTGTTAAAATGTGTTCAAATCATCGAATGTTCTGAGACAATAAAAAGAAAATCATAATGACCATATATGTAGATAGGAACTTTTATTCTTACTTTTATAATTACTCGTAAATAAATACACACTTCCAGATAGCAAGTCAACTAGAGCAATTAAAATCAAAATTCCCAGAGGCAAATATCACAATTGAGGTTATTAGTCGAACAATAGAATACAAAGATATTGTTCTCCTTAAAATAACAGAAGCAAAGAGCAATATAGGAAAATACTTTCGAGCTGCCGACAGCAAATATGTAGACGATGTTGCTGAGAAAAAAAATTATATTCATAGTTCATGGGCTTGCCGTAATGGGAATTAATGTGATACCTTGCTTACATGATGAGAGGAAATTCACGCAACTTGTTTCGTATTATTTATCACATTTGGACAAGTTCGATATATTCTTAATACCGATAGCAAATCCAGATGGGATGGCTCTATCAGTATGTATTACTATTATTTTTTTACGACTTTCTTTTTACAGTGCTTTACTATTTAAAGACTTAGAATACTGCATTCATGATCATATCTGTGTATATTAAAGTAATATATGCATGTATGGCCGTGTGGTTCCGGTACAGAATAAGTCGCCCCTTCCTTTCCGTGGGTGTCGTAAAAGGCGACTAAGGGAGGACGAGGGATGGGCAGCAGCGTTCCTCTTAAAACATCTCCAAAGCTTAACTGCGGTTGCCAATCTGCCTGCCAAACGTAGCAACTACGGGCAAAACCTCGAAAGGGGAGTCTTATGTTCAGCAGTGGACAGTTAAAGGCGGATATAATGATAATAATATATATATATTAGTATAATAGTAATAATATATATATATATATATATATATATATATATATATATATATATATATATATATATATATATATATATTTTACACACCTTCGAATGGCAAACAAGCTGACGGCCCACCTGATGGAAAGTGGTAACCGTCGCCTATAGACATGAGCAATATATGACGTATTATACCAAATTAATGATGTTGTTAAAAACAATATGTAATGTCGATAGTTTCTGATAGAAAACAATGTTACGTTCACACATAACATGTTTGTTTATGGTCTAATGATACTCGTGGCGATAATAAAATGCATAGAAAATTAATAAATGTAACGAATTGTAACCATTATGAGAACACAAATTTTGATTTGGTAATTTTTGCAGAACGTTACAATTCATAACTAATTTCAAATTGTAAATTGGAATGCACTGATTTTTTTGCAATTGTGAACAAAATAAAAAAAAGAAACTTTTATTATTGTGGGAAAAAAGTTAAAAAGTTTAAAAATTAAAAAGTATAAAACAAAGGCCATTTTTTAAAGTTTTTTAGGGTAGTTTTTATTAGTACCTAAAAAGTCTCTCCAGTATGCAACTTTGAATTTTTTATAAATGAAAATATAGGTAATTAGAATTCTTAACTCTAAACATCTTTATCTAATCGTACCAAGGCATACCTAGATGAAAAATAAATATAAAAATAAATTTTTAAAAACTTAGTTAAAGCCCACTACCTATCCTTATAATCACTTAGTCCTACGTATTTCCAGTTTTATGTGTGTTATATATATGTGTATTAATATGGTATATTTATGTGTATTTATGCGTATATATGTATATGTATGTATATATATTTATATGTGTATGTGTATGTATATATATGTATATGTTTGGTTGTATGTGTTTATTTATGTATGTATATGTATATGACTATGCTGTCACAAATATTATTTTTTACAAATCTATCTTTTTTAACGCGCCACCTACCTACTTATGCTTTAATCCTTTCTACCCAAAGGTTGTCTGGAAGAGATTGCTTAGCAATAAGACCGCCTTTTGTACTACACTATACTTATTGAAAATTGTTTTAACAAATCATGTTATGTTGGTGCAATAAAGTGTTAAATAAAATAAATAAAATAAATAAATAATAAAAATTTGATAAAAAATGAAATCGTTCATATATTGATTTTTAAAACACATACAATTAGTCTTAATAAATAATTATCATATATGTATAATTATAACTTTGTGTTATAAATAGGGAATGCTGAGGCAAGATAATAGCGATAGAATATGGAATAAGAATGCTTCACCCCAGTCCGTTTGTATGGGTGTTGCTCTAGATCGCAACTTTGATGTTGCCTGGAATAACTCCCATGGAATCAATCCATGTAGCAACCAATACCCGGGAGCAGCACCATTTTCTGAGCCTGAGACAAAAGTAGTACGCGACGTTTTCCATCGTTACAGTCACAAAATCATTGCATATATCCATGTACACGGAGGCACTTACAGGGAAAAATATTTTAAGGTAAGTTTAAACAACTAGAAAAAGACGAGGTTTTTAACTGGAATGCATTTTGTATGCAACTTAGAAGGAACAACTTCGACTTTTATTCAACTTTTAGTTCATGATATAAAGCGGTAACCGTTGCCTATGGACATGACCAGCGCCATGGTCTCACGGTACCGTTTCATGTATTGCCGTTCCTGAGGACTAAGATATTACAGCTCTGTACCATGTACGAGTAGTT